CGAGGATACAAATTTCACGGACACCTCGGCCGAAAACGAAGCGAGTCAAAATCTCTTTTTGCCCGGGGAATTAATAATTACACGACACGAGGATAGGCATCATAAAGCAACAGGGAGGCAAGAAACAGGGAATAAATACGAGTTAACTCGATTCGTTGGCCGGCCATATACGGAGAAAACGAGCGAACGAATTATCGGTGGCTAACGACGCGGGATCGAGAGTTTTAAAAAGGCGGCCGTCGTCTCCTCCGGCTCTTCCCCATTCAAGAGGAAGCGAGCCAGACCCTGTCCGTCTGGTTCACCACCGGCTTCTTCTTCTTCTTCGCCTTCATTCATCAAACATCGTATTCCACCGGCGCATCGCCAACCCGGACATTATTCAGCCGCGTTTTTCGAAGATAATAGCTGCCTCTACAAATAAGATCGGAGTCGGAACTCGAGAAAACTCGTGGCGACTTGGAGAAGCGCGGTGGTTGCCTCGTACATTCCTAGAAAAGAGAGAATCTCGTAAACATTCCTCGTTTCTTCTGCACGAACACTCGAACACGTGAAAAGAAGTTTGTTATGCGCCTGTTTGTGGAAATTGGTGTCTCGCCGTTGAAAAGTTGCGGAAAAATATCGCCCAGAAACGAGGGACCATTATTCGAGACATTTGGAAACGATGGAAATAAGAAAATTGATTTCATATTTATAAAAGAGATAAAAATAGGATAAATAGGATAAAATGGCAAGATTAAAAAGAAATATAAACGAAAATTAGAAAAGGCGAAATGTGAAAATAATCGTATCCGATATTAATTCGAAAGTGGCGGAATTTAATACTCGTCACCCGAGTAAAAAAAACTGAAAGCGCGCAATTGCCAAAAACCCTGATATAATTGCATTGGGATAACATTGGGTTGGGTAAAAACAGTAAGAACCTGGTGAAAATCGTAAATAAGAAGAGAAGTCGGAACACGATGGATGCCGAAACGCAAAAACAAAGGAATTTATACGCAAGATATCGCGGCTTCTTGCCACTATAATCGTAAATAGAGGTTTATGTCTTCGGAGAGATACGCATGAGCATCGGTGGTATAATCTCATCGGTGAAGCGGGATAATGAAGAGTACAGCGGGGAGTAGAATTTTATTGGATCGTTAAAGGGAATGGTGATTCGCAACAATTTGCCCCGTTTAATCCCCGCGATAAGTGACTTTCTCTTCTTTTAAATCGAACCTAGTAATACGCGCCATCGATCGCAAATCTTCCCGACTGCTTAATGCCACGTGATACTATTCCAGCAATTCCGTTCGTTCCTTCGTTTATATTTCGATGATATACAACTGCGCATGCGCATACGTCTTGTTCCTTTTGCGTCCTGAGTGTTCCGATCAGTGAAAAAGTAAACTTGATTTTAAGGTATCGCTTTTTCTATAATTTTTACTTTTTCTATTTTTTGATAGTACTTGATCAATAGAAAATATTAAAATATGTTCCAATCTAAGAATTCATTGGTTTAAAATATTATACATAATTAAAATCTGGATCTCTTTTCGTACCTGCGTAACATACCTGCGTGTTTTAGGTTAGGTTAGGTTTCTGTATAATATTCGACGAATAAAGTATTTGGGTTTGAAAAAAAGCACAAAAATAAATTAGAAAAAAGTAATAAAATAGAAACTCAATCTTCACAAAAAAAAAAAAAAGGATATACAATCTGTATATTCTCTTCTCTTCCTGTACAAATTAATATTCAATACATCATATGAATATCAAAGTTCAAGAGGAACACTTTCTCTAAACATTTTTCCAATGAATCAAACGTCACGAGTCTCTCAACTTTTCCACGTAGATTTTACGACGTATCCGAGCTTTATCGTTGAGACGTATCTCTCAAACGATCGTAGATCGTTTACCGTGTTTCCAATAACGTGGCTCGTCTGTAATTCCACCCACGTGCTGCGTCATGTCCTGTGGTCCATTCATCAAACAGCGCGAGTACTTAAGTTTCGCTCGTAACCAAGGAAAGATAGACGCGTTTGCATCCCTCGACGTGGAAACAATATATGAATACGTACACGTACATGTGCAGCCCTTATTCCATATAAGACGAACCTTCTAGCCTTATGGACGAGAAAGAAAGGTCGAGATAGCAGCTCGATATAAAACGATCCGACCCACCATTTATTTATCCCCACTCCTCGCTCTTGTATGCGTGTTGTACAGGGTGATTCTGAGGAAATGGAAGGATTGGATTATCGTTCGAGGCAATACGTGGAAGAAATATTTGAATGAACCGGGTTTTAGACGATGATTGAATATTGTATAAGAAGAAATTCGATAATTCTCTATAGTTCATTAATATGATCCAACTCTTTATATGTTGCGAAATACATTCTTAATAATCAAATAATCTATATTTATTGCTTCTTCGAGATTATGCGTTGTAACAGAGTTATTTATTCCACAGGTAACTCCTTCGAACGATTAGGTTTGAAATTTATGGGATACGTGGAAGAAACGTTTATTCCATTTATGTGAACTCGTTTAAGTAAGTGAATTTAACGTAATTCATTTTATAGCTCAATTGAAAACTTAACTAAAATTCTATATTATTATTACAAAAATTTTTAATTTTTCAGGAATATAACTTATAAATATTTCTATTATAAACGAATCTTCGTTTAAAATTGGGAAAAATTGAACACCATCCAAGAACGATCCTGTATATATCCATATAGTTATTTATCGTTACAATGATATTATCTGGCTGGATACGATCTTGATTCACGAGTTCCTGTCTCTAGATTGTCACTGAGGATTGAGGAACTTCGGTTGTCACGTGGCTATTTCAACGTGGAAGTCATTGTTAAAGATGATCTCTAACAGAGATCACATACACATATCGTGATCGATCCTCCATTTACATTACACAGAGTTTCTCGCAAGAGGCCTATAATTGTCGTTGAAACGAGAGATTTTTCCTTCGATTGCGAAATAAAAAAATTCTTAAGATAATTAGAACGATTAGAAAGTCCATGATCTCGATATAGCGAATCGAAGAATAGCATAGGTTTCTCACTGCGATCGTTTCATTTGTAACGCCCTCGGTTCACGCTTAATTGCGTTTCGAGAATGAAGCGTTTAATTTGCATATGTCGCGATCTCGAGTGCGCTCACCACCAGAGTTAGACGTTGCACGCGAATAGAAAGTGATAATTTATGGTGATTGACCGTTTAGACTTTGAGGAAGAAAGTTATTAGTTGCGTTTGCTTATCTGGTGAAACACGATCGCCGGTTCAAACCGAGTTTCGAAGTTGTAAAGGGAAAGCGAAATAAAGTATCTGATCTTGTTTGTTCGCATTTTAGATGAAAAATTTTCGAAATTTTTTTAACGAAATATCGTACATTGTGTTGGTTATTTAGTTTTATCGAGTTTTATCTGATCTTTAAATAGATTGAAGTATGTGAATAATTTAAATTTTAAAAGAATAGAAGTTAACCATGAGAGATTTTCTCACCTTCTCTGACGACTATGCAAATTACTTGGTGGATTACCTAGAAAACAAATATTTTTTGTTGCAAATGTAAATCGAGATTTCGAAATATAGATCGATTCCACATTTCAACCATGATCGAAATTTATTCAAATTATGAAACTCAACAAAACTAAAAGAATTAATTATTCAAAATATGAAAATTATATTGATCTAATTTATTTGAAATTTAATCTTGAATATTTGACTCTAATCCTTACATAATTTAATACAAAATTACTATAAAATACATCAAATATCGTATCGATTAATTTCACGATTAGTACTATCGATATCTCGACTACGATCGAATCGTCGTGTCAACAATGGCGCATATAAATCTCAAGTGTACGATAGAGGGACACTGATGCAACACGGGATTGAAACGAGCGTATTGTTTCGACGAGGAACGCGCGCGCGCGTAACATCGATGCCCGACGATAGAAACAAAAGTAGAAGGTGGAGGCAGTCGGCGGCGACGTGTGTACGAGGAAAGCCGACCACATGAATGAACCTTCCATTCATGCGTGCCTCTAACCCCTTCCTACAACCCCCGTCGCACCGTCTATGGGATCTTGTCGGCTACCAACGACACGACTATGCGACACACACACAAGACGCATACATACGAACGTTGAGATACAAAGATGAAAAGAGAGAAAGAGAGAGACAGAGAGGGAGAGAAAGAGTGCACATGCGCACAAAACGAAGCGCCGCGACACACGTGACCGCCATTGTTGATCGCAAGGAAGAACCGGCAGCGCCAACCAGCCGCGTTATTCCTGGCTTTTTTGCAAGAACCAGGACACTGATAGCATACTCGTTCTTCAGTCTTTCTAAGTGGTACCCTCGAGAGGTATAATACCGGGACGAAGGCTCATTCATTCGTTCGGTCACGTAACCGAGATTAGGAGTGTTTGGCGCCGATGTTTTTAACGGCTAATGACGGTATATTCCTCGATCTTTCGACGAATGGAACACTTTCGAGAATCTTCGATCTGTAGTGAATTACAGAACAGATCAATCCAGGTTGTTTTTTGTAAAGTTCACATAGACGGGTTCTTAATTTGGATATAGAGAAAATTGGAATACATGATAAAACAAGTTTATTTCGTCGTTGGATGTAGTGTTCAAGTTTTGTACATTACTTAACCTAACATTCGAATTATTGAATCGAATAGAAGCAAAATATAACAGAAATAATATATTAAAATAGAATTGAAATAAGATATGAACTGAATTAAAAAATGTTTTGAACGGGAATGATGATATGATGAATTCATCAAATCAAATAAAATAACCAAAATTAAAATGAGAATCATGATAACTCGTACAAGCTCAGAACCATTACAACCGTAATGTCTACATCCATAAACCTTTATTTTCAACATCTCGAGTAATTATTCGTATTCATTTCTTAATTACTTCATCGTATTTCCATTACCGCTAAAATATGACAATAATTATGGCTATCTATCTTTCAGTTTTATTTCTTTTGTATTCAGACACCGAACCGTGTAAATTCAAGGAAACAAGAACAAAACGTCTTGTATCATAGATATCAGTAATGTATCCAGTAGTTCAAGTTTGTAAGTAGAACACAATAAAAACATGCATATTAGTTTTAAGTATTAAATTATAATTTATAAAATACATCATATATATTTAAATATAAATTTATAATAATACGAGAAAATTTAATTTTAGGTTAAAAAATATGCAAAATTGTATTCAAAACATGAAAGAAAAAGATGCTAAAAATTTGAGAATGAATTTCAAATTTTCATAAATAATCTATTATATTTTATATATACAAATTATTAAAATCATTATTTGAGTTAATCAAATTTCTCAGTAACATAGTGTTCTAATACTTTCGTGAGTTACTGTACGTTTCCTGGCTGATTCCAAGCACTCTGTAATATATGATAGGGCTTAACGAGTATCAACGTCGACCAGTTCCCAAGAAGTCGAGGCAGAAAAGTGTACGACTGTTGTCTCATTCATCGGCGACGAGGAAGAAGACCCTTGTCCCATTCATCGTAGTCCCGTCACGCTTGACGGGGACCTAGGTTAGCTGGATTTTAAGCGCGGCAAGAGCGCAAGAAGGCACCAATGGGGACCGTTCGAGTCCCGATGGGAGATGAAGAACACGTTTCTTCTTCCTCGTCAAAAGAGTAACAAGAATGTCATAAGCGGCCGGACGAAGAAGACACGGTGAATTGGTTGTCTGTGTAACGAGACCCCGACCACAATTACAGTACTAATGGAACCCACTACTTTATATGGTAAAATAAAATTACCGCTAATAACCTCGAATTAAAATATCATCGAATAACCGACCCGTGATATTAACCCTCTTTCTTTTTTTTTCATTTTTTTTTTTTTT